TATTTTTCAGTCGACTTTAATCAGCATTACTTCTGACAAGTTTTAACGATGTATGGAACATTTTTTTCTCAAAGTATCGTACGCTCGTCGCGTTCGCTGAATCGTCTCCAAAAAAAAATGGACTTTTGAAGTTGCGAGTTGGCTCGTTTTACGAAGTTACGATCGCGTGCATTGCGACTTCTGCAGCGTGTGTTACAAATAATAGTCACAACTTGGCGGACGATATAAACGTTATTCGATTTATTTATAACCGTTAGATATGTCATACGGTTCGTATATATTTTTAACCAGTTCACAGCCCGATAACGGAAAGAGATTGCCAAGTATGTTATTTATAATCCTGCGACCAAAGACTGAGGAACAATTCGTCGGTACGTGAAATTCCTCATCGCGAACGGGCTCGAGACGAGAGTCTATCTCCGCGAGTAGGTACATATACATATATATACGTATATATATGTACACCGCACGAAGAGATATGTACCCGAAATACGCACATTGCGAGCGGAGAATAGAAGAGCGTGAATTATTAACCGGCTTCCCGATAACACATTAGCTCTCTTCGCGTTTCTGCATCGGGAACATACGCACAACCTATGCGCTGTACTTTCGCGAAAGATACGGTAAACCGTGGAGCTTTTACGCGGAAACACATACACGAATTCAAATCGACTCTCTCTACGCAACCAAAGATAATAATAACAATTTATATTCAGCAAAATGCGAGTAATCCGTTTCCAGTAAAGTCTAATGCGATCAGCAGTGGCTGTAATATTTAAGTAAAATGTATCGCGGAAGGAATGATCGGCTCCCAAATAAAGGAAACGTCCAACATTGATTAATCGATCAAAGGCGGCCCTCTCTCCCCACCTCCTTGCTCCGTTTGCCTTCACGAGGCGCGTGTCTGACAACGACTGTCTATTTCTACTTGCAGCGCTATGCTCGGCTTTCTATCTCCCGGGAACGAGGCATCAGCCGTGGTTTAGGGTCTTACGCTGTGCAATTCTACATCCTACGAACAACCGCCGGGAACACTTGACGGCAGTCGTTATACCGGCGATGTTATTAACCCTTAATCGGTCTTCGTATATCTTGGCACACGTCCCAGCAAAAATCATTTTCATCCCGCTGCTTCGTCGCGAGTTTGGCATACTGAAAAAAGTCTGGTAATAATAATTACGCATACATGATGTAGTTGCTAAGGTTTTGGTAAAATAATTTCGATCAAATGTTTCGTTAAAATAACCGAAAATTAACCGACACTAATTTTACTCTTAAATATTATCTTTTAATTATTGCCAAACGGTTGGTTATTATCATTATTTTAATAATATTTATTAAATGTTGCATCAATACGTTAAACAAAATATATTTTAGTGTTGTTTGGCATATCGAAAAAATCCGGTAATAATAATCGGCCTAAGTGATAGTTACTAAAACTTGATGAAATAACTTCAAATGCTCGGTTAAAATTATCAAAATAACAACTAAAAAATTTTGTTCTAAATATAATCTTATACTTTTCTAATTATTATCAAATTTCAATCAGTTAGTTACCGTTTTTATGTATGATAATATTTAAATCTTGTGACTCAACACTAAATGAAATACATTTGAGAGAGAAATAGTTATTACCAGACTTTTTTTCAGTTGGAATGCACAACACGCAGAAAAATAATACTGTATGCAAATATTTATTAGTTTCAAGTATTTCAAAAGAGTTCATATATTCACAAGTTTATAATATCACAAGTGCATCATAAGCATAAAATTTATTCAAAATATATTCTGAATCCTAATAAGTTTAACATTTTCACGAAAATTATTAAATTAACGCAAATTTAATTCGTTTATTATATAAAGTCACTCTTTCGAAATTCGTAATTTGAATTTATAATAATTAACGTTTCTAAATTTTGTATCAAGTGTATTTTAAGATTGTCATCAAGAAAATATGTTTTGTTGAAGACAACCGTTATCTAAAAAAAGTAAGCAATAATTACTTTTCTTGTCGGTAGAATAATATTTTTCTGGATCTACGGCTTTACCCTTCCTTTCTTTGACAGCTTTACGATTCTATTTCATTAAAAAAAAATTCCATGTACATTATTAAAGATACTGGAACGACAAGCGTAAGAAATACGTTTTCATGATGCATGAGATTACGTATCGTAGATATTATTTCGTTGCGCGAAAAATCAATTTCTATTCTCGTATTCTTCAAGATATTCGTGCAAGATGTAGCGATAGCGTCAATGTTAACATTAGCCGGGAGTTCTAGAAAACTTTAATAGTAGCCGACTGTGGATATGAATCAGTATTTCTGTCGCTCTCAAACTTTCCCCACCCTAATATGCAAATTTATTATTCCATTTCAAATAATGTCACACTTCCAGCGCCACGAGGACCAAGTACCTATATAAGGGAACAAGAGAGAGGTCAAGGAATAAAAGGAAAAAAAAAGAGAGAAGAGAGAGAGAGAGAGAGAGATAGAGAGCAAGAGAGTGAGAGAGAATCCTCTCTCTTCCCTTTTCTTTCTCCCTTTCGCATCACCTTTCCCGCAGCCATTTATATTTCCACCCGCCACCATCCATCATTACGAGTGTCAAAATTTCACTCGACAGGACTCAAGAGATTCATTTCGCCCGAAAAGCAGCGCGCGTTACTTGGCGCGCTATACGTCGGCACGCACTCGGGGTATAGATGTTCAAGTTTCATCAACAGCGGGGCGTACAGTAATCCGCCAAACATTTTGATGCCCTGCGACGGGCGGAAAAATAAACGACGGTCCCTTCTCCCCGCGTTGATACACCAGGCTCTGGCTAAATTACCGTGCAGACGAGAAAAGGCAGCGCGTGCGGAGAGCGGTTCAATACCAAATTCCGACCGTCGTCGGCAGCACCGAAATAACTTAACGACCTTCCTATTCAAGTACATTTCCTATCCTATCCGGTGATAGGATAGGAAACGCACTTTTCCTCGTCGTCCTCGTCGTCATCGTCGTCATCGTCGTCGTGCGCGCGGGGTTCGCACGTGCGTAATTATTAGCGACCCTCCTATCGATTCGGGGGCCGGTTTCGCTGTAACAAACGAGCGAACGAACGGACGAGCAGAGCAAGCGGACGAGCGGCTGTCAAAGGTTGGGTATATTTCCTCGGCAAGTGAGTCTAGGTCACTCGTGGTATCGGGTCGATACCACGAAAGCGGGACAAAGGCGAGTCTTCGACTGTGCCTCACGCGTATTACAGTCGGAGCTGACCAGAAGTTGATGATGGCATGGGCTCGCACGGCGAGCGGAAAAAAAGAATTCTCGATCCCTGTCTCACCTCGCTCTTTCCAGGAAGAGAGGAGGAAGAGGAGGGCCGGGAGCGGGGCGGAAGGGGGGGGAGGAG